TAAAAAGTACATTAAAAACAATTAAAACATTTAAAAACATCACATTCAGAGTTAAACATGTAATCCACGAGCATAATCTGGGCCATTCCAATGGTCATTACACATTGTTCCAAGTCTATCTATTGTACAATTTCTCTAAAGGCTTGGTCACAAGGTCATGTTTTCACTATTTTGTGGAAGGTCAGGAGGAAAGGAGTTAATCTAATATCCCTGGGGAGGGAGTTCCACAGCCGAGGGGCCATCACTGAGAAGGCCCTGTCTCTTGTTTCCGCCAATCGTGCCTGTGAGGGAGGCGGGACTGAGAGCAGGGCCTCCCCAGATGATCTCTGTGGTGCTTCATAGAGGGAGATATGTTCAGACATATAAGCTGGGCCAGAACTGTTTAGGGCTTTATAAGCTAGAGCAGGGGTCCTCAAACTAAGGCCTGGGGCCCAGATATGGCCCTCCAAGGTCATTTATCCAGCCCTTGCTCTGGGTCAAATTAAGTCTGAAATGACTTGAAAGCACACAACAACAACAACAATCCTATCTCATCAACCAAAAGTAGGCCCACACTTCCCATTGAAATACCAGTAAGTTTATATTTGTTAAAATTGTTCTTCATTTTAATTATTGTATTGTTTTAAGTGTTTCTTTGCACTACAAATAAGATATGTGCAGTGTGCATAGGAATTCATTCATATTTTTTCAAATTATAAGGTGGCCCTCCAACAGTTTGAGGGTCTGTGATCTGGCCCTCTGCTTAAAAAGTTTAAGGACCTCTGGGCTAAAGCCAGCACTTTGAATTGTGCTTGGTAGCAGATTGGCAGCCAGTAGAGCTGATGTAACAGGGAGGTTGTATGCTCTCTGTACGCCACTCTGGTGAGCAATCTGGCTGCCAGCCGTTGGACCATTTGCAGCTTCCCAACCGTCTTCAAAGGCAGCTCTACATAGAGCGCATTGCTGTAGTATTTTCGGGAGGGAGGCAGGACCGAGAGCAGGGCCTCCCCAGATGATCTTAAACTCTGTGATGATTCGTAGAGGGAGATACGTTCAGACATATAAGCTCGGCCAGAACCATTTAGGGCTTTATAGGATAAAGCCAGCACTTCTGAATTGTGCTTGGCAGTAGATTGGCAGTGTTCTGAACAGTCTTCAAAGGCAGCCCCATGTAGAGCGCATTGCAGTAGTTTATTTGGGATGTAATCAGAGTGTGGACTACTGTAGCCAAGTCTGACTTCCCAAAGTACGGGTGCAACTGGCGCACAAGTTTTAATTGTGCGAATGCTCACCAGGTTACCGCCGAAACCTGGGATTCCAGGCTCAGCGTTGAGTCCAGAAAAAACCACAAGCTGTGAATGTGCATCTTCAGGGCAGTGTAACCCTGTCCAATACAGGCATATGCTATACATATATTGAATAGGATGCAAGCTGGGCACAAATCATCATATAACCACATGGCAGCTATTAAAAGGGTGTGAAATTATGCCCTGTTTTCATTATGGAATAATCCATGTATTTAAGATGATAGATTAGATGCCAGGTATCCGCTCCCTTGGAGGCTTAGTTGGGGCAGCAGGTCAAGCAGGGAAGACGTTTTGCAGATTTTCACTGCCTCCGGATCTGCAAAGTACCATAGCAAAGCATCTGAAACCACTGATTATTAACAGCGGGAAAACAGAAAACCAGAGAGCTAAGGTTCTTTCTCCAGATTTTACCAGTTCTGCTCCAAGGGTGCATAGTTACTTTCAGATGTTACTTTTAATGGGCACTTTTATAGACATTTCGACAACAATGTTTCTTTTTCCAATTTTACATCAATTCTAAAGGGTTCTTTCCCTTCAAAAAATAACAAAGCAATGGAAAACTAATAAAGACTGTAACAAATACTGCAACAAGTTATTTATTTTCAGCATTGTAATTAGCAACACATATCCTTTGAAATGTCACAAATGAAAACCAGGGTGTGCAAGGATGAGCAACATGAGAATGTGCTCAAGATGGCAAAAATTATTGAGAAGGAAGACCACATAAGCTAAGAGAGGCTTCAATAGTTTCCTTTTGTCCAAATCCACCAGGTGGGACAAAATTCCTCTTCTCCCTTGTTGAATACCAGAGGGGGGAATGGTTGGAGGACAGAGAATGGGAGACTTTTTGAAAGCAGTGAAGGGACAAAGGGTTAATCAGTACTAATAATAAAGAACTTTTAAAACATTGTAATGCAGAAATAGAGGGAGAAAACGTGGAGGTAGTCACAGACTTTGTATTTCTACGTGCAAAGATTACTGCAGACGCAGATTGCAGCCAGGAAATCAGGAGACACTTACTTCTTGGGAGGAGAGCAATGTCCAATCTCGATAAAATAGTGAAGAGTAGAGATTCATCACACTGGCAACAAAGATCCGCATAGTCAAAGCAATGGTATTCCCTGTAGTCATCTATGGATGCGAGAGCTAGACCATAGGGAAGGCTGAGCGAAGGAAGATAGATGCTGTTGAACTGTGGTGTTGGAGGAAAGTTCTGAGAGTGCCTTGGACCACAAGAAGATCCAACCAGTCCATACTTCAGGAAATAAAGCCTGACTGCTCATTGGAGGGAAGAATAGTAGAGGCCAAGATGAAGTACTTTGGCCACATAATGAGAAGAAAGGAAAGCTTAGAGAAGACAATTATGCTGGGGAAAAAGGAAGGAAAAAGGAAGAGGGGCCGACAAGGGCAAGATGGATGGATGGCATCCTTGAAGTGACTGGATTGACCTTGAAGGAACTGGGGGTGGTGATGGCCGACAGGGAGCTCTGGCATGAGCTGGTCCATGAGGTCATGAAAAGTTGGAAATGACTGAATGAATGAACAACAACAACAATGCAGTGTTTCTCAACCTGGGGGTCAGTCCTGGAAGGGGGGGGGTCACAAGGGTGTTTCAGAGGGGTCACCAAAGATCATTAGAAAACATATATTTCTGATGGTCTTAGGAACCCCTTTGGCAGAGAAGACTGAAGATCTCAATGCCTGTTCTTGTCTTCCTTTTTGGAAAAAGATGGGGAATCCTCCTAGCAAAAGCCCTTCTCCACTGTGATTGGCTGGCCTCTTAGCCAAGGAGAGGGCTGTTTCTGAAACTCCAAGGTGGGAGGGGAGAGCAGATGTGCTCGGTGCTTGGCAGTGTGGTGCACATGCGCAGGCAAGGGAGAGTGTGTGAGGCTGGAGGGAGGGTTGAGCCAGCAAGTCCCTTCAAGGCAGGGGGATTCTGTGTGGGAAGTTTGGCCCAATTTTGTCATTGCAGGGTTCAGAATTCTCATTGATTGTAGGTGAACTATTCCAACAACGAAAACTCCCAAATGTCAAGGTCTATTTTCCCTAAACTCCACCAGTGTTTCCACCTAGGCATATTGAATATTTGTGCCATGTTTGGTCCAGATCTATCATTGTTTGAGTCCACAGTGCTCTCTGGATGTAGGTGAACCACAACTCCAAAACTCAAAGTCAATCCACACCAGACCTTTCCAGTATTTTCTGTTGGTCAGGGGAATTCTGTGTGCCAAGTTTGGTTCAATTCCATCATTGGTGGAGTTCAGAATGGTCTTTAATTGTAGGTTAACTTTAAATCCCAGCAGCTAAAACTATAAATAGACAAAATAAATCCCTCCCAACCCCACCAGTATTCAAATTTGAGTGTATTGGGTATTTGTGCCAAATTTGGTCCGATAAATGAAAATATATCCTGCATCTCAGATACTAACATTATGATTCCTAACAGTAGCAAATTATAGTTATGAAGTGAAGTAGCAACAAAAATAATTTTATGGCTGGGGGACACCACAATGTGAGGAAATGTATTAAGAGGTCACAGCATTAGGAAGGTTGAGAAACACTGTTGTAATGGGTAACCAAATAAACTGCTTTTAAACAATACTTTTCCAAGCTCTAACCCCAGGTTCAGATGACATTTTGAGTTATCCTAACATTGTTTGTTTCCTGGTAAGCGCAACAAGAGGCATTAAATAAAGCTTGAGTTCAGCTCATTACATTGCTTTTTATCATGCCAGGGTTCCTGACTTAACAGATTATGTCAATGAAAATGTAGACATAGCTTTCATCTGTCCCCAATTTGCAGTGACTATCCTGATTAATCTGTTGTCCTACTTTTTCATGTACTTTCAACTTTTCTTTCCCCTCTCACTTTCTTTGTCTCCAGTTTATTTCAGTTGCTTTCAGCTGAGTTCAAAGTGTAAAACCACTTCGTTCTCAACATAGGGAGAAGAAAAGAAGATGAAACAGTGTTCTACCCAGGAGCATCAGATAAAAGCAAATTTCTGCAGCCTCTCCTGGCTTGTGTGTTATCTTCCTTTTTTTGTGTGTTTCTGGAGCAACCTGAGAAATTGCAAGTTGCTTCTGATGTGAGAGAATTGGCTGTCTGCAAAGATGTTGCCCAGGGGATGCTCAGATGTTTTACCATCCTGTGGGAGGCTTCTCTCATGTTCCCACATGAGAAGCTGGAGCTGATACATGGGAGTGTACCCCGCTCCCTGTATTCAAACAGCTGAACTTTTAGTAAGAAGTCCTGCTGACCCAAGGGTTTACTCCATTGCACCACCAGGGGCTTATTAATTATTATTAATAATACCTTATTATTCCTTATAATACTTTCCTTATTTTTAATTTTTGTAATTTATGCAAGTCTCTTCTGGTGTGAGAGAATTGGCCATCTGCAAGAACATTGACCAGGAAACACCTGGATATTTTGATGTTTTACCATCCTTGTGGGAGTCTTCTCTCATGTCCCCACATGGGGAGCTGGAGCTGACAGAGGAAGCTCATCAGTGCTTTCCCAGGATTTGTTGCTCTCCGACTTGTTGGTCTTCAGTCCTGCCGGTAAAAGGGTTTGCTATTTTGACTATACTCTGATGTTGTTTGGCCATACACATCCAAGTTTTCACTTGTGAAAATTAGCATTGGGGATGTTTTTCAGGTTCACTCCCCACCATTAATCCCATTCTCAGTCTGTCTTATTTCTTTCCCTACCAGATGCTCTCCTGGCTGATCTGGAGACGACAACCTCCCATATCTCCAAACGGCCCGTTTTGCTTACAGATTCAGGGGGAGCCCTGAGCCAAGACAGGAACCCAGAATCCAAGCCAGCTCCCCCACCTTACAACCCTCAGCAGCAGGTAAGCATTGTGTTGTTGTTGTTGATGGTGTTTCTGTTGAAGGAAATCTCTATGGGAAAACTGTTTTCTCAGAGAGTGCTTTTTCTCTGTAGTAGGGATACTGGGCATGATATGCTAGAACAGTGATGAAAGGGATTGTGGGGAAGAAAGGAAAAGTTGATAGATGTTGTCATTCGTTTGAGAAAGAAGAAACCAAACACAGCATTGCCCAGACACGAATCAAGGAACACGAAAGGCACTGCAGACTAATTCAACCAGAGAAGTCAGCCATAGCAGAGCACCTGATGAACCAACCTGGACACAGCATATTATTTGAGAACAGAGAAATGCTGGACCACTCTCACAACCACCATGTTAGTCTACACAGAGAAGCCATTGAAATCTACGGGCATGTGGACAATTTCAACAGAAAGGAGGAAATAATGAAAATGAACAAACTCTGGCTACCAATAAGAAAAAAACTATAAAATCTGGTCAGTAAATACAGAGGAACGCGCAAACAATAGGGAAATTCCTGACATGAAACAATCAGGGCCAGTTAACACCTTCCAACTAAGGATTCCCCAAGCAGGAACCAGCCAGTCTTTGAAGCTGCAAGGCCATTTAATTGCTAATCAAGGTGCCAATTGCAACATACACACATGCCTCAAACAGACAGGTTCTTTCTCCCACCCTGGACATTCCACAGATATATAAATCCCACTTTCCTAGCTTTCACCAGACCTCTCAACCTCTGAGGTTGCCTGCCATAGATGGGGGTGAAACGTCAGGAGAGAATGCTTCTGGAACATGGCCATATAGCCCGGAAAACTCACAGCAACCCAAGAAACTTGTGTCTTTGGAAGCAGAAAGCCTCTGTCCATAAAATGATTGAAAAACCGGCAGTGATTGATGCGTTACACGTTTCTTAGTGTGAAGATTAAATGACCAAAACTTACGTCTTCATTTCTGCAAGTTTGTCATCTGTTGAAGAAACTCAAGGGCTCTGTGGAGGGAAGCAGTAAACTTGGCAATACAATCCAGATTATTTGCTTTGAACTGAATTATATGGCAGTGTAGAAGGGGTCTAAGTGAGAGATTAAAGAAATTATCTTTCATATCAGAGACTCTTATACCAGGAATTCTCACATGATCTTGAGGACACATAAAAGTTATCTATATAAGGATAGGGAAAAAATCTTCTCTCTTTGAAGTTATCTACAAATAAACATGCAAATCTTGATTCTAAGTATACGATCTGTGTATTCTTTCCAAACTCATTTCTCATGCACAGTGAATCAAGCAGTATTAAGCTATCCTGTCTTGTCTCATGTGTCTGCCTTGAAATGAGCTGTTTCTATCTTTCCTGTTTTAAACATGCTGCATGTACATTTATTAAACGTTTGTTGTGCATTAACTAAAACAATCAATTCTAAACCAATAAAAGCAACTTCAGGCCATAGATATGTTAGGGATGTTAATTGATTTTCTGCCAAGACATGCTTTATGGAGACATATGTAATAATTAGAATTACTTGGGTTTGTAGAGATTCTGCTGTACTAGATTAATCACAGTTTGCAGAAGCATACAAGAAGCTTGGCCTCTCACTGAACATTGAGAAAACCAAAGTGCTCTTCCATCAGTCACCAACCAATCACTCTGCAATGCCAGAAATACAGCTTAATGGTATAACATTAAAAAATGTTGACCATTTCTGCTACCTTGGCAGCCACCTCTCCACAAAAGTCAACATTGACACTGAAATACAACATCGCCTGGGCTCTGTGAGTGCAGCATTCTTCTGAATGAAGCAGAGAGTGTTTGAGGATCAGGACATCCGTAGGAAAACCAAAGTGCTTTTTTTTTTGTTTAATAATTTTTATTAAGTTTTTCAAAATTTCCATAAAAAAGAAGGGAGGGGAAGGAATTAGGAACGAGGGGTTGGGAAGATATAAAGCTATTGTGCTCCCAACTCTGTGGAACATCTCTGAAACGTGGACTGTCTACAGATGTCACACGCAACTCCTGGAACGATTCCATCAGTGTTGGCAAAAAATCCTTCAGATCTCTTGGGAAGACAGGTGGACAAATGTCAGTGTGCTGGAAGAAGCAAAGGCCACCAGCATTGAAGCGATGCTCCTATGCCATCAACTCCTCTGGACTGGCCACATTGTTCAAATGTCCAATCCCTGTCTCCCAAGGCAGTTACTCTACTCCCAACTTAAGAACAGAAAGCGTAATGTTGTTGGATAGGAAAAGAGATTTAAAGATGGGCTTAAAGCCAACCTTAAAAACTGTGGGATAGACACTGAGAACTGGGAAGTCCTGGTCCTTGAGTGCTCTAACTGGAGGTCAGCTGTGACCAGCAGTGCTGCAGAATTCAAAGAGGCATGAATGGAGGGAGAAAAAGGGAGAAATGTGCCAGGAAGAAGGCGTGTCAAGCCAACCCTGACCAGGACCGCCTTCTACCTTGAAACCAATGTCCTATCTGCGGGAGAACATGTGGATCAAGAATAGGGCTTCACAGTCACCTACGGACCCACCGCCAAGACACTACTCTTGGAGGACCATCATCCTCAGGCTACAAGGGATTGCCTAAGTAAGTAAGTAAGTAAGTAAAATTGTGTTACTCAAGCCAGAAATGGTCCAGTTGCTATCTGTTTCTCCAGCACTTAGATATCAACTCATCTCCTTAATAATGCCTCCTAATTCTTTTGTTTCAGACTGGAACCACTGGCATGTCTGTTGAGCCTGTGCCAGCATCTACCCTGCAGGGTGGGAGTGACAAGGAACACCTGTACAGGTAAAGTAGAAACATTTCTATTTGCGTGAGGAAGGGTTCTTTGTGTGAGCAGGGATATCGGTATGTATAATATGAGGCCATTCTCTTAGCAAGATTTCTGAATACATCATGAAATTTTCCTTCACTCCCCAAATTTATAGGATGACAATAATTGAAAATGCCAGCTGAGCATTTAGAAATGCAGTTTTGACACACAAAGAAAAAGGGAGTAAGAGCCTGAAGGGAAGACAGAACACAGTGTTTTTGGTGTGCAAAGTTTTCAATGTTTTGTCCTCTGCAATGATAAAAAATTGGGGACGGAGGAAAATTTAATTTGAAAATACATAACTTTTATTTTGCGGGCAATGCACTCATCTCTCCCTCTACAGCGATGCCCTCACATATTTGGGAACATTCATAGTTGATTCTCATTCTTGTTGCTGTGTGTCTTCAAAGAAATTCTGACTTGCAGAGATCCGGCCTAAGGGAAACCTCTTATGGAGTTTTCTTGGCAAGATTTGTTCAAAGGGGGTTTGCCCTTGCCTTACTCTGAGGCTGAGAGAGTGTGATTTGCCCAAGGTCACCCAGTGGGTTTCCAGGGATCATACCCTGATCTCCAGAGCCCTCAAAGCACTGCACCATGTTGGCTCTCTGCTTTTCATTTAGCATTTGGAGCTGCGGTAGCGCAATGGGTTAAACCCTTTTGCTGGCTGAACTGCTGACCTGAAGGTGGGTGGTTCGAATCCACGAGATGGGGTGAGCTCCCATCTGTCAGCCCAAGCTCCCATGCAGGGACATGAGAGAAGCCTCCCACAGGATGGTAACACATCCGGGCATCCCCTGGGTAACGTCTCTGCAGATGCCTGATTTCCTTACACCAGAAACGACTTGCAGTTTCTCAAGTCACTTCTGATACTATTTTTTTAAAAAATTAGTATTTGGAAAAATGAAGCCACTAAATGCAAGGGAGATGTAGAGCGTTAAACATGGAATGGGACAGAAGATGTGTAATGTGAGTGAACCACATTATATTGGGGGAGAATTGGGGAAGGCAAACCCAGCAACAGTGCCCTATAGACAGGTAGGTACTTAGGCAGGTTTGGCCCATCTTTTGGGCAGTATAAAATAAATATTGCAGACCCTGAGGAAATGTGAATGGAAGACAGAGCAGTGCATCCTATGTAGTGTAGTCCACATTCTCCCCTGTCAGCCTAGGGCTGTCAAGTGAGGTGTAGAATACTGTTGAGTTGCCAGTGTGGTGCCATGATTCAACTGCAAGATGCATTTATTTATCTGGAATAAGAATGGCATATTGATAACTGGAGACAACTCCTGCGCAGCACTTATTGCTTTGTCACACAACCAGGTAACATGCAAGATTGGCTGAAATTTTCTCTTTTACACAGCCATTAATGGCATAGAAGCCTTCTCTAGTTTTCACTTTGGCAATGGAGCCCCCAGTGGCGCAGTGGGTTAAACCCTTGTGCCAGCAGGACTGCTGACCGATAGGTCAACGGTTCGAATCTGGGGAGAGCGAGTTGAGCTCCCTCTATCAACTCCCGCTCCCCATGTGGGGAAATGAGAGAAGCCTCCCACAAGGATTGTAAAAGATCGAACATCTGGGCATCCCCTGGACAACGTCTTTGCAGACGGCCAATTCTCTCACACCAAAAGCAATTTGCAGTTTCTCAAGTTGCTCCTGGCATCAAAACAAAACCCTTTGGCAATATTGTGTCCTTTCTGGAGGAACAGGGACATCACAAATGAACAATATTCCCATGGAAGGGAGATATTTGAAATAGCTGCTCTTTTTATTTATTTATTTAGAACTTTTGTATCCCATTCTTCTCTAGTTCCGTGGAGGGACTCAGAATGGCTAAGAGCAAAAATTCAATGCTATACAATACAATAAATAACATCATAAAAACAACATACATATTAAATAAGTTCTAAAATGCGTATAAAAACAGTTCAACAAGTTAAAAACATCATCCAATTCATCATCAAACTCAAACCAATTGTTGTTGTCCATTACCACTTAAATTGCACCGGAACATCCATCAATGTGCGAATGCCTGATTCCACAGCCAGGATTTCAGCTGCTTCCTGAAGGACAGGAGGGAGGGGGCAGACCTCACCAGGGAGAGAGTTCCATAGCCAGGGGGCCACCACAGAGAAGGCCCTGTCTCTCATCCCCACCAAATGCAACTCTGAAGATGGTGTGATCGAGAGCAGGGCCTCTCCAGAAATCTTAACATCCTTGATGGTTTATAGGAGGAGATGCGTTCGGACAGGTAAACCGGGCCGGAACCGTGTAGCATTTTGTAGGTTAAAACCTGCACTTTGACTTGATTGGCAGCCAGTGGACCCGGTGTAACAAGGGAGATTTTCCCAGCCATGTAGCTCTTTGAGAAGAGAAATCATAGTGGCTGAAATTGCCTTCTCCTTGTGGGCAAATATTGAAAACACATACACCCTGAACTAGGCATGACCTGGAGGGAGCCATGCGCTTAATCTTGTGTTTCAGTGGGACATCAGTGTCGGAAGGATGAAAAGAGGGAGAAGGGACAGGAAAGATGATTACAAAGGCATTTGACCGCTCTGGGAGCTCTGCCCAATTCCACTGGCCTTGTTCCAAAACTTCCATTAAGCCGAGGGATCCTATAAATAGCTACCACCCCTCTGCCCCCCCCCCCCCCCCCCCCCCCCCCCCCCCCGCTGCCCCTTTTTCTCATTCTCTGTGGAGCTGTCTGGTGCCGCATCCATCTCCTTGGGGTGTGGCAAGAGTACTAATCTCTCCATCCTACTCCCACCCCATGCTCTTGGCTCAGCGTGGCTGGCTGCCCTACACATCTCTCCTATGACTTCATCTTCTTTCTCTCTCAATTGTCTTTCCCAGCACGGTCTGCAAGCCACGTTCACCCAAGCCTAAGGAAGGTGGGCCTCCACCCTTCTCCTCCTCCAGCGGTGTGCTTGGAGCTGGGCTTTGCGAATTGGATCGACTGCTGCAGGAACTCAATGCAACCCAGTTCAATATCACAGGTACAAGGATTGTGGAGGGGTGCTGGGGAAAGGAGAGTGTATTGTATTGTGCGGTATAAGTTATTTATGCCCTGCCTTCCCTTCTACTCCCACACTGGAACAAAAAGCAATGCTCATGGAGTATTGCTTTTCTCAGAGAGATGTTGTTGTTGTTGTTGTTGTTGTTGTTTGTGTGTCTTTAAGTCATTTCCAATTTATGATGACCTCTCATAGGTTTTTGTGGGGCTAAGAGTGTGTGATTTGCCTGAGGTCACCCAGTTGAGTCTTCATGGCCAAGCAGAGATTCGAACCCTGATCTTCAGAGATTGAAGACTGAAAACTCTATGCCATCCTGGCTGCCAGAAAGAGCTCAACCTTGATAAGTGAAGGAATTATTCCTTCATGTACTCACCTGTATTTATAATGGTGTAGCAATGCCTGAAACAAAACCTCTATGTATGGGAGTAGTATATCAGTGTTTTTGGGGGTTTTCTTGGTCAGGTCAGGAGTGACTTGAGAAACTGCAAGTCGCTTCTGGTGTGAGAGAATTGGCCGTCTGCAAGGATGTTGCCCAGGTGATGCCAGGATGTTTTTGATGCTTTACATCCTTGTGGGAGGCTTCTCTCATGGGGTCAGCTCTGCATGGGGAGCTGGAGCTGACAGAGGGAGCTCATCTGCGCTCTCCCCGGATTCAAACCTGTGACCTGCTGGCACAAGGGTCACCGGCGGCTCCCTATATATCAGTGGTGCCATGTGAAATAGAAGAAAGGGCCCTTGTGCTTTTAATACTTGCGTAGTAGTGGGATTTAGTTTCTCATGCAATTCTAACTTGCATTGTCAAACTGTACTCGCTGAAATGTTGTCTTCCATACCATTTTTCACACTACAGAATCCTGTCATCTTTTTTCATGTGGCCACCCACAAATGTCCCACTCAAGTGTCCCATGCTAGGAATGCAGAAGTGGTGGCTAGTTGCTGTCACCTTGTGGGGCTTTCTTTCAGGAAGGAGGGATATGTTTTAGTGTGATTCATCAGCAAAGCCCCTTTGTGTTCTTCAGCCTCTCTGGAAACTGCTTTCGCAGCATTTAATTCTGTTTTAATGTCAACTTTCTACACTCTTGAAATTATAATGTAATCATTTGAATTTGTAGCCTGCCTTGAGCTACAATCTTGGGGAAGAGGTGGAACAATAGCAACAACCACTGCCTCAGTAATACCTGTAGTGGTTTCTTTTCAGACTCAGATTCATAGAATCATAGAATCAAAGAGTTGGAAGAGACCTCTTGAGCTATCCAGTCCAACCCCCTGCCAAGAAGCAGGAATATTGCATTCAAATCACCCCTGACAGATGGCCATCCAGCCTCTGTTTAAAAGCTTCCAAAGAAGGAGCCTCCACCACACTCCGGGGCAGAGAGTTCCACTGCTGAACGGCTCTCACAGTCAGGAAGTTCTTCCTCATGTTCAGATGGAATCTCCTCGATTCTTGGGGACCATAAGCAATGTTTATGTTTGTTCAGCATTTTGGAGTTTTGAGTCAAATCAGAACATCTTGTGGCCCTGCAGATGTTGTTGGGCTGCAGATCTCATCATTGTTCACTATTGGCCATGTTGGCAGAGGTTAATGGGAGTTGCAATCTCTGAAGCGCTGCAAAGAATCCACCCTTATTTAAACAATTCAGTGGCATGGCCTAGACCAGTGGTTCTCAACCTTCCTAATGCCATGACCCCTTAATACACTTCCTCATGTTGTGGTGACCCCCAACCATAAAATTATTTTGGTTGCTACTTCACAACTGTAATTTTGCTCCTGTTATGAATTGTAATGCAAATATCTGATATGCAGGATGTATTTTCATTCACTGGACCAAATTTGGCACACATATCTGATATGCCCAAATTTGAATACTGGTGGAGTTGGGGAGGGGGATTGATTTTGTGATTTGGGAGTTGTAGTTGCTGGGATTTATAGTTAACCTACAATCAAAGAGCATTCCAAATTCTGCCAACGATGGAATTGAACCAAACTTGGCACACAAAATTCCCACAACCAACAGAAAATACTGGAAGGGGTTGGTGGGCATTGACCTTGAATTTTGGAGTTGCAGTTCACCTATATCCAGACAGCACTGTGGAATCAAACAATGATGGATCTGGACCAAACTTGGTACAAAAACTGAATAGGCCCAAATGTGAACACATTTGGGCCCAGTGTTCATATTTGGGCCTATTCAGTATTCGTACCATCATTGTTCGATCTACACTGATGTACATGGTTTCAAGTGCTCTCTGATGTAGGTGAATTACAACACCCAAACTCAAGGTCAATGCCCACCAAACCCTTCCAGTTTTTTTCCTGTTGGTCATTGAAGTTCTAAGTGCTAAGTTTGGTCCAATTCCATGGTGGAGTTCAAAATGTTCTTTGATTGTAGGTGAACTATAAATCCCAGCAACTACAACTCCCAAATGACAAAATCAACCCCCCCCCCCAACACATGAGTATTTCAAACTTGGGTGTATCGGGTATTTGTGCCAAATTTGGTTCAGTCAATGAAAATACACCAGATATTTACATTACAATTGATAACAGTAGCAAACCATACAGTTATGAAGTAGCAATGAAAATAATTTTGTGTTTCGGGGGGTCACCACAACATAAGGAACTGTATTAAGGGGTCATGGCATTAGGAAGGTTGAGAAATACTGCTTTATTTGGAAGCCGCAACCTTGTGTGCTCCCGTGGGCCTTTGCTACTTCCTGTAGTGGAGCATATTGTCACTGTGTTGTTTTACTGGCCCTTTGTTTCTAAAATTAGACATTCTTCACTTAAGCCTGCTTAGAAGTTGTGTCCGGTGATTTGCATGGGGTTGCCAGTTCTCAGGCTGGAAAAGCTGTCTCTAGTCTTAAGAAATTTGAATGGGAAATTCAGTTGTACTCCCACATGTGTTCTTCCACAGTCATAAGGTAGTGTGAGACAAGTGCTTTGGGCAGTGGGTGTGGGAGTCGGAAATGATAAACGCTTGGATTTATTCACCTCCCGAGCTTGCTCACTATTCCTCTCTATTGGAACAGAATGATGCATGTCACTTGTCCAGACTAGTTTACTGTTTTCATTTTTGGTGGAAGATGTTGCATATTCTAGCTCTTCCAATTAGGCAGGGACAATCCCTGTGAGGACTGGCTTATATTTAGCCTCGAGAAGGCAAGGATGAGAGGACACATGACAGTCATGTTTAAATACTTGAAAGATATCATATTGAAGAGGGAGCAAACTTGTTCTCTGCTGCTCCAGAGACTAGGACATGGAGGAAGTCATTCAAATTGCAAATAATAATAATAATAATAATAATAATCCAATTAAACATTAGGAAGAACTCTCTGACAGTGAGAGCTGTTCAACAGTGGAATCCTCTGCCATCTGGAATCTGGATTGCTGTGAGTTTTCCAGGCTGTATGGCCATGTTCCAGAAGCATTATCTCCTGACGTTTTGCCTGCATCTATGGCAGGCATCCTCAGAGGTTGCAAGGTCTGTTGGAAACTAGGCAAGTGAGGTTTCTATATCTGTGGAATAAACAAAATCTGGCTACCAGTATTTTAAAAACTCTAAAATTATAACTGTAAATAAAGAACAACACTCAAAAACAGGGGAATTCCAGATAAAAAACAATCAGGGCCAACTAATCACCTCCCAACAAAGGATTACCTAAGGCAGTAAGAAGCCAGACCTTGAAAACTGCGAGACCATTAAATGCTAATCAAGGTGGCCAATTGCTGCATTCACACCTACCTCAAACAGACTACAGTTCTTTCTCTCACCCTGGAAATTCGACAGATATATAAACCCCAATTTCCTTGTTTCTAAAAGACCTCACAACCTCGGAGGATGCCTGCCCTAGATGCAGGTGAAATGTAAGGAGAGAATGCTTCTGGAACATAGCCATACAGCCCTGAAAACACAGAACAACCTGGTGATTCAGGCCATGAAAGCCTTCAACAATACATCTTGGAATCTGTCGAACTCTTCTTCCTTGGATGTTCTTCTTTGGCTGGATGGCCATCTGTGGGAGTGTTTTGATTGTGTTTTATTGCATGACAGAATTGGATAGGACTGGATGGCCCTTGAGATCTCTTCCAATTCTATGATCCAGTTCTATGATTTTAAATAGAAATTCCAGGTGAAATTGGGTAATTCTGACTTATAATGTCTCTATCCCAAATGAGACTTATTTTAGTCTCATTCTAGATATGTTTTTTTGGCACACAGTGATATAGAATCATAGAATCATAGACCTCTTGGGCCATCCAGGCCAACCCCCTGCCAAGAAGCAGGAAAATCACATTCAAAGAACTCCTGACAGATGGCCATCCAGCCTCTGTTTAAAAGCCTCCAAAGAAGGAGCCTCCACCACACTCCGGGGCAGAGAGTTCCACTGCTGAACAGCTCTTACAGTCAGGAAGTTCTTCCTAATGTTCAGGTTGAATCTCCTTTCTTGTAGTTTGAAGCCATTGTTCTGCATCCTTGCTCCCTCCTCCCTATGACTTCCTCTCACATTTTCTGCACATGCTCAGAAGCACCCCTACTATTTTACTATTGGTCCACATGTTCCACTTTTGAGCTTCTTGCTAATGAAAAGTTTCTCTGGGAGTAAAATACGGTAATGCTTTCCAGTGCATTTCTTGCCCTTTGAATCACAACACTGCTGTCCTCTAATGGCAAGAATATGGAATAGCAGGGTTAACAGATATCTTTCGTTCTCCTTCACTTTTCCCCCCTCTAGATGAAATAATGTCCCAGTTCCCATCCAGCAAAAACCCAAGTGGGGACAAGGGCAAAGACAGGCCAGAAGATTCTATCGATTCTCTATCTCGGTAAGCATATGGTCACTAAGATAGTGAAGGAGGCTCATTACAAGCCAAGGCATTTGCTCCAGGGGCAAACTGCACTTGGAACCCAGACCAGTGGCATCATTGGGGACCACACTAATTGACAACATCAAAAGTCATGACACAAAAATGACAGTCTTTAAATTTTGTGTCTTTTTAATATAAAAATATCCCTATAATTAGGTATAACCACAAAAATATTTTTCATCAGCCCAGCTTCCATGTATATTGTCAACATACTACAAGGCTAAAATTCCATGCTGCCTGGAATCCATCTCTTGGTTGCTGATTACAAAAGCAGGACTCAGACTCAAAACATTATATCTTGTAAACCTAAACTGGACAAACTGCCCCTTCAATTAATATATCTATGTCTATATAAATCAAATGTAATGTTAGTTTGTGGGATTAACGTAACTCCAAAACCACTGGACAAATTGACACCAAATTTGGACACAAGACACCTTCAGGCCAATGAGTGACCATCACTCATAAAAAGACTGAAAAACACAGCAGAAGAGACTTAAAAAGCCAACCCCCCCAAATACATTACAACGCATGCGCAAACCCACATATATATACACAAACACACACATATACACACACAAAACACATATACAAAGACTGGGCCACAGCAACACATGGCTGGGGACAGCTAGTATATATATATATAAAATAGCTCTCTCTCTCTCTCTCTCTCTCTCTCTCTATATATATATATATATATATATATATATACACACATAATAGCTAAGAATCAGATTGCTATTGGGTGAACCATGTCAGCTTGTTTCTTTATCTCCAAACACCTCTGATGGTGTCACCTTATTCTCAGGTCAGTGGCTCCTCCATCTGCAAAGCCATCTGCCACATCTGCCACCTTGGAGCTGGACAAGCTCATGGCCTCTCTGTCAGATTTCCGGGTCCAGAGCAATGTAAGTATTGGTTTTGGGTTGCTGTGGGGGATATGTTTCTGAACTTAGAGTGGAAACAGGAAACAATGGATAACAGTGGACTCCACTGAAATGAACAACTTCCATTAAAAATCAACGTGGATTCTCATTGGAGAATCTACAAGATTACTGGAGAAGTATCTTCTCCAGGAACTTGCTTATTCCTCCATAGTAACATCTGGTGAATGCTAGTATTTTAGCACAGTGGGTTAAACAGCCAGCTGCAGAAAATCTTGCCAATTGAAAGGTTGACAGTTCAAGCTCAGGTTGGGATGAGCTCCCAAATGTCAGCCCAGCTTCTGCTCACCTAGCAGTTCAAAAACAGTAATGTGAGTAGATAAATAGGTATCGCTTTGATGGGGAGATAATAAAAGGTACCCATGCAGACATGCTGGTGATTCGATCGGGAGAGCATCTAAAGACAACAAAGCTCCTCAGCATGGAAGATGGAGTGACAACACCCCTCATGGCTGGAGTTGAGCATAACCCCCAGATGCCAGAGATGGAAAAAGATGGGAAGCCTTTACCTCTGTTTATGTACTGTCTGTCTTTGTTAATTGTATAACGGCATTGAATGTTTGCCGTATATGTGTACTGTAATCCGCCCTGAGTCCCCTCAGGGAGATAGGGCAGAATATAAATAAAGTATATTATTATTATTATTATTATTATTATTATTATTATTATTACTTTGCTCCATAGATTTAGAACATTTGTTCCCAAATTGAAAAAAAAAAGCAATTGAGTTTCCAGCGTCTGACGTTCATTTTCTCCTTTGCTCTCTTGTTGTTTATCCTTAGGCTAAAGATGGCTCCATTTTAGAGAAAATTTTGAGTTAGAAAAAGATGGGAAGCCTTTATCTCTGTTTATGTACTGTCTGTTTTTATTAATTGTATAACGGCATTGAATGTTTGCCATATATGTGTACTGTAATCCGCCCTGAGTCCCCTCAGGGAGATAAGGCAAAATATAAATAAAGATTATTATTATTATTATTATTATTATTATTATTATTATTACTTTGCTCCATAGATTTAGAACATTTGTTCCCAAATGGAAAAATAGCAATAGAGTTTCCAGCATTTGATGTGCATTTTCTCCTTTTCTTTATTGTTGTATATCTTTAGGATAAAGACAGCTCCATTTTAGAGAAAATTTTGAGTTGGTTACACTACTCCTGTTGTAATATTGTCAAAATAAAAATCCTAGAAAATGACATTGATCTCCTTCAGAATGATCCTGGATTTCCAGAATCCTTCAGCCAACATGGCAGAGTAGTGATCTGGGAAAAAGGAACCATTCCAGGCTCTACTCTTAACCATTTCTGATGTGTGGTCCTTTATGTTTTAGCTTCCAGGAGCTTCCTCCACCATCACAGCAGTATCACCACCTCCTGCTCCTGCCCGCGTGTCCTCGGCACAGCTACCGGTGGTCTCGTCCATCTCCCCCAGCTCTCCTGCCGCACCACCGCAGATGTCTCCGGCTCAACCAAGTGGGAACCTGGACAGCATGCTTGTGATGCTGGAGTCAGATCTCAGCCGCCAAGGGATCTCCACCACAGCCAAGGGGCTGTGTGCTTCCTGTCAGAAACCCATTGCAGGGCAGGTGAGCACTTCTGATGTGGAGGACATACCTTCCAACTATTCCGATCTGTCAGAGACATTTCCATTTCAATCTCTTCCATCCCACTTTTTCACCTGCTTTTAAAATGATGCAGTTTCTCACTCTTTCTCCCACTTTCCCCTGTTGTCTGTAACTTATTTTAATGACTGCAAGGTGAGGTCAAAAGTGCAAAAATAGTTTGCGCCCAGTGAAAAGGAGAGGAAAAGGTGGAAGTTTGCCCTTCCCAGTTGGCTCAAGCAAAAACAAATGTCTGCAGCTGCTCATCGTTTGTGCAGACTTCCTTGTTAATGATGTCACAGGGTGAATTTGGAGGTTGCTGTCCATTTTAGCATGATGTCAACTCCACTGGGCATTCTGTTTCCTTACTGGAATCTTCCTTCTTCTCCTCTTGTTCTCTTGTTCTCTTCTTTCTCTTTCCCCCACATATTTTAGTCTTATTTTACCACTGCAGAGCCATGGTTGGTGCTTGACCTAATATCTCCAGTCAGTCTTTTAGTTGGTCATTCATTCATACATACATACATTTACTTGTTGTTTTTGTTTTGTACCCTGAAGGCATTTCTGACTTATGGCATATTTCTGTAACAGAGTTTTTTGACGTTGAGTGGCCATGACTTGTCTAAGATCACCTAATAAGTTTTCACGGTTAACTAGGTACATGAACCCTGGTCTCCAGAGTCATAGTCCATGCGATATCAAAGTGGTCTTCATAAAATCCTAGAGTTAGAAGAGACCTCGTGGGCCATCCAGTCCAACCCCCTACCAAGAAGCAGGAAAATCACATCCAGCAGTGTTTGAATGTGATGGTCCACAAGGTCTCTTTCAAATCAAGGATTTAATGATTCTATGAAGATCACTTTGATATAGCATGGACTTTGGACTATGGCTCTGGAGACCAGGTTTCAAGTCCCAGCTGAACTATGAAAACTTATTGGGTGAACTTACACAAGTCACGGCCACTCAACCCCAGAAAACTCTGTTACAGAAATATGCCATAAGTCAGAAATTACAATGAAGTCTACAGCATGTCTTGGGCATAGCTACCATATCTCAACCTAAGTCTACCTCACTGGATTCTGGTTGATTCTGGAGCAAACTACAGAGCAAACTACAGACCACCTGCTGCAATGCAACCTGAGCCCTGCTACATGCACAATGGAGGACCTTCTTGCGGCAACACCAGAAACACTCCAAGTGGCCAGATACTGGTCAAAGGACATTTAATCAATTACCAAGCTTGCAAACTCTGTGTCTTTTGTATGTTTGTTTGTTTGTCCTGTCAAAAATGTAATACAACTGTTAGGTTACCTGACACGATAAATAAATACCTCACTGGATGTGCATGAGGTAAAAATGGGCACAAGGAGGATTTGTGACCCATAGAAACTTGGGATAAAAAGGGAAAGAATCTCCCAAGGGACCTTAGTAAGAAAGTTGAGGAGGTTAGTAAATTGGATTGTCGTTGTCAATAGTATGTGGAATCCAACATGTCTATTCTTTCCCTGCTTAACCTGATCTGTCTGTTCCGACATCTCTTCTTGTCTAGGTGGTAACAGCCCTGGGCAGCACTTGGCACCCAGAACATTTTGTCTGCAGCCACTGCCAGAAGGAGATGGGAGGCAGCAATTTCTTCGAGAAAGATGGTGCTCCTTACTGTGAGAGGGATTACTTCCAGCTCTTCTCCCCCCGCTGTGGCCTTTGCAATGAACCCATCCTCGATGTGAGTGGTCCTCATCTGAGCCTTGTAACTCAGTGCAGCTTTGAGCAAGTTTAATATTTAAACTAACTTTGTGAATCAGGAGTTTACTGTAGAATATCTTCATTTATTTCAACCTTTTTCTTCTTTCCATGAAATATATTGCACCAAGGTACTTGGGGTGGATGGTAGAGGGAGAAGATGGTCTGCTGTTGCCTGCCCCAAGTTCTAGTCAATATCTATACACATAATAAAAATGAAGATATGTATGTATGTATGTGGCTGGGGTGTCCACTTACACAGACAAGTTCCTGCCTCCACAAACAGCTATGATCCCCATCTATGAGAAGCTACTAAAGGCCCTCCCTCCACTAACAATGCAGGTTATAATGAGCGCCGTACAACCCCTGCAGTGTACTCCACAAACACCATACTGCCCACCACCCAAGTGAATGCTTTCATATGGGGACCATTTCATCTTAGATTTTATGTGTTTCCTCCACCACAAACATCCCAGTGTTTCCTACTCTCTCAATTGGTGTGGAATTTGCATGACCACTCCCACTGCCTCTCCCTTAACCCTTTCCTATTCTTTTCTATGGCACACAGCAGACAGAAGAATTGATCAGCAACTTAACATACTGGAGGGGTTTGGGGAGAATTCACCATGATTTTAGGTACTGGGATGTATAGTTCACCTGCAATCAATGAGCACTGTGAACTTCACCAAAGAGGGAATTGGACCAAACTTGGCACACAGAACCCCCATGACTAGCAAACAAATACTGGAGGTCTTTGGAGAAAATTCATTTTGATTTAGGGGAGTTGTAGTTCACCAACATCTAGAGAGCACTGTGAACACAAACACTGATGGATCTGGACCAAACTTGGCACACATACCTGATATGTTGACATTTGATTACTGGAGGAGTTGGGGGGACTGAACTTCATTTCAGGGAGTTGAAGTTCACTCACAACCAAAGAAACTGTGACCTCCACTGATGATGGACCTGTACCCATCTTGGCACACAGAACCCCCATGACTAACTCAACCTACTAGAGAGGTTTGAGGAAGTTATAATTTACCCTGCATCCAGAGTCACACTGAACCCTACCAGTGATGGCATCTAGAGCAAACTTACCCAACAGAACAAACTTTAAATACTGATGGAGATTCTTGGGGTTAACCTGGCATGATGTGAGTTGTAGTTCACCCACAACCTTATGCATTTTGTACAATTAAAATTTGACTTTTTAAAATAACCCGGGCAACGCTGGGTACCCAAGCTAGTAAAGTACTAGAAATAGTAAAGAAACTATGTTTGTAAGTTTTACATCTCTGCATCCAGCCCTAGAAGGGCAGCCACAAACCTCAGAATGTAGTGCCAAGTAGTAATAGACAAAATTCCACTATAAATAGCTGGCATAAGAAACAAGAACAGGCAAAAGGAGACAAGCCTGGGACATGCATAACTGTAGCATCCTGTTTGGTGCATTGTCAGCAAGTTGCTGGTTCCTCACAGACACTGTGTTTCCCCTTCTCTTTCCCCAAACATCCGTCTGACTCATTCAGAAAATGGTGACTGCACTGGACAAGAACTGGCACCCCGAGCATTTCTGCTGCGTCAAATGTGGGCGGCCCTTTGGGGAGGAAGGTAAGTGCAATGGGATTAGCCATTTTAACCTGGATCTAGAAACAAGAAAGGAAAACAAGCAACATGAGCTTTTGTATGAATGCATGCAAGGCTTTCTTGGGATGTTACAGGAATGGTCACCCTACCTGCGTGACCGTATCGCTGTCTACGAACTCACACGTTCACTCCGATCATCGGGAGAGACCCTGCTTGTGATCCCGCCCGCGTCACAAGCGCGCTTGGTTGGGACGCGAGACAGGGCCTTCTCTGTGGTGGCCCCCCGCCTCTGGAACACCCTCCCGAAAGACCTCAGACAAGCCCCTACATTGGCAGTCTTCAGAAAGAATTTGAAAACCTGGCTGTTCCAATGTGCCTTTTCAGACTAGGAACCCCACTACCAAATCCCAGAAGCACTTTAGCAGAACCAAGATCACCGCACTTTGCACACCGCACTTATATACTATAATCCCATATCCCTCCAGCACTTTTAACCCTGTACCCCACTCTGGCCGGCTCAGTTTTTAATAATGTCTTAATAATGTATATTGCTATTTGTTTGCTTTCTGCTTAACTGTTTTTGTTTGCTAGGTATTGTATTGTTGTATTGTTGTATTGTCTGGGCTTGGGCCTACTGTAAGCCGCATTGAATCCTTTGGGAGATGCTAGCGGGGTACAAATAAAGTTATAATAATAATAATAATAATAATAATAATAATGTTAGTGGATCCAAAAGTCAGATTAGAATCCCTCTTACCATTGCGAAAATTCAACAATATGGCAACAACCAGTACCAAAAAAAATATTATTTCTTGCACATAATATCTAAAACAAGGTGCTCCAATAGTAAGTGACTTGTTTTAGAGAATTACGCTCCCACAAGTACCCAGGAAGCATGATTTGCTTTGTCTTCATGCTTGCTTTTATGCTTGTTTTCGGGACTAGTAAATTTATGGCTGTAAGCATGGCCATTCAGCTTTTTTCTCATGTCAGGAGCAACTTGAGAAACTGCAAGTTGCTTCTGGTATGAAAGAATTGGCTGTCTGCAAGGACGTTGCCCAGGGATCAACATTTTTGATGTTTTACCATCCTTGTGGGAGGCTTCTCTCATGTTCCCTTACGGGGAGCTGGAGCTGACAGTGAGAGGTCATCCGTGCTCTCCCTGGATTCAAGTCGGCAACCTTCAGGTCAGCAGTCCTGTCGGCCCAACGGTTTAATGCATTGCACCACCGGGGACTCCTAGCCATTTGGCTATTATGTAGGCTTTGGGAAACGGGTTGCCAATGCCTATTAGTGGATTGAGAAATAAAAAAGAGTCAGGCCTATTTATACATTATACATAAAGTTTGTTGTTGTGTGCCTTCACGTTGTTTCCAACTTATGGTGACCCTATCACATGGTTTTCTTGGCAAGATTTCTTTAGAGGTGTCTTGCCTTTGAGAGAGTGTGCCTTGCCTAAAGTGATTCAGTGCATTTCCATGGCTGAGCGTGGATTTGAGCCCTGGTCACAGTTCAACACTCAAACCACTGCTCCATACTGGTTCTTCCACTTCATGCCCGAAAGTTTACAAGAGTCAATGTGAAGTAGGGATTAAATTAACAGTGGTTCCCAACCTGTGCTCAGTGGTCCCAAAGAACTAAAATATGGTCTGCGGCCTCACCGGTACTATACCGTTGCAACAAGAGCGACTGGTCTCATGAAACCCTCTTATAGTGCCAAGGCAACGGGGATGTCAGGTGGGTAGAGGTTGACTGCCCATGAAAGGAAAGCGCAACAACAAGCCTCCCGACTGCTTCTCCTCCTCCTCTTCCCGCCCCTTGAACTGAGCCTTTCCATGCAGTGCCTTTGTTTTTAGGCCTGTCTTCATTTTTAGACCTGATCCTAGGGTTATTTGGGGTGCTGATTAAGAAAATTACATTGGATACACCACATCAGCTCTAGATTATTAAATATGGTTTTCTGTGGGTGAGCAGATGGCGACTACTGGATGCATATGTTCTGCATCAGAAACTAGAGCTGATGTGGTTTATCCAATGCAGTTTTCTGAATCAGCACCCCAAATAACCAAACTGAATCTAAAGTTGACCAAAAACTGATTTGTAACCATTTTGGCACTAATGTTGGAAAGTGGTCCCCATTCAAAGTGGTCCCTAGTCAAAAAAAGGTTGGGAACCATTGCATTACAAGGTGAAGAAAAGGACAGGCTGCATATGACCCCAAGGACACTTCCCAGCCCCATAATTTATAGGGGTGATTATTTTTCTTTGAAAATGCTGCCCCCCCCCCCACTTGTGGTATTTTTGCTTCCCATTCAACTATCCAAATCTTTCAAATTCCAGTAAGAAATTGGTCAAATTGAAACAAGCAATGACATGTCAGATGCAAGATTCAGCTCCACTAATATATGCGTATGGTAGTGTTGGGGAACTGCCCTATTATTTTAGGGCCATGAGAACTTCATTCTGCCCCAAGAGGGCAGTTAAGTTTTAGTGGGGAAAGTCTCATTCGCTCAAGGCTCATGGCTCATAAATTAAGCCTTTCTCCTTAAGGTTCATTTCTCCAAGGAAGGGAGGCGAGGGGGCAGGGCACGGAAGATCCAGCCATATTTTACAAGACACCGGCAAACTCCATTCTTTTTGTTCACTATCTTTTTACTTCGATGTGGCAGGCTTTCATGAGAAGGATGGGAAGCAGTATTGCCGCCAAGACTTCTACGAACTCTTCTCCACCCGCTGCCAGGGATGCAACCAGGCCATACTGGAGAACTACATCTCGGCTCTCAATGCCCTGTGGCATCCAGAGTGCTTTGTCTGCAGGGTAAGCATATGCATTCCCAGGACTGATGGCAAGATTGATCACCCCCTGGTACAAATTCCAGCCTAAGGAATGTAAACTTGGGTAACCTCCTAAGTGTGCATCTGCCTTCAGGTTGCCAGTTGACTTAGGATGACACAATGAATGCCATAGTGTTTTCTTAGGTAAGGAATATTCAGAGGTGGTTTGCATTGCCTTCCCCTGAAACAGAGCCTGCAGCACCGGGCATTGGCAGTCCCCTTCCCAGTATTAGCTAGGCCTGTCTCTGCTTAGCTTCCAAGATCAGACAATATGTGATGCCTTCAGGGTATTATTATTAAACATCATCATCATCATCATCATCATCATCATCATCATCATCATCATCACAACAACTGAAAAAGCAGACACGATATGAGGATTTAAAATTCAAACTGCAAAGACTCTGGCACAAGCCAGTCAAGGTGGTCCCAGTGGTGATCAGCACACTGGGTGCAGTGCCTAAAGACCTTGGCCTGTACTTAAACACAATTGGCACTGACAAGATTACCATCTGCCAGCTGCAGAAGGCCACCTTACTGGGGTCTGCACGCATTATTCGCCGATACATCACACAGTCCTAGACACTTGGGAAGTGTCCGACATGTGATCCACTACAACAGCTAGCAGAGTGTCTGCTGTGGACTCATCTTGTTGTGTTTATAATAATAATAATCACTTTATTTATATTTCACCCTTCTCCCTGAAGGGACTCAAAGCAGATTACAGCGTATAAAGAGACACAGGCAAACATTCAATGCCTTGTTACAATGAAATATAATGAGATATAAATACAAAGGCAAAGGCCTCTCCTTTCATTTCCAGCTCAAGAGGCGGTGCCCATCTTCGGCTCTGGAGGAGGCGTCCTTCTCCATTTCCAAGCCGACGAGCCTGCGTTGTGTGTAGACACCTCCTGGTTGTGTGGCCAGCATGACTGCTTGGCGTGTCCTTTTTTTTCCTTTTCCTGGCGAAGTGGTACCTATTGAGCTACTCACATTTGCATGTTTTTTAACTGCTAGGTGTCGTACTCCCGGAACACCTCTGAGTTAAAACACCACACTGGCTTTTGATAAAATCAACAAGCAGTTATGCCAGAATATATGTAGGCAAAGCAGTAAAAATAGTAAAACAATAAAGATTCACAGTCCAAGATAATCCAGGAACCCAGATCCATTAATACATTGAAATCAGTGAAGCCATGAACTTGAAACCATGAAACAAAACAACAAAAATTACAAGATACGTGGAACAGAAAGCATTTGAAAATGAAACCAGCCTGAATTAATGATGTTGCCTCAAATGAGGACCTGGCCTCTCATGAATCATTATAAGCCCTTTCCAAAGTCTAGATGTGAGAAAAGCATTTTTTCCCCTCACTTTCCCCCTAGATAAAGATTTGGTATCTCTCTTTTCTGATCCGGCTTACCTATCTGAACATATCTCTCCTTATGAACCATCTAGGACTTTAAGATCGTCTGGGGAGGCCCTGCCTGAAATTCTGAAAGTCCTGCCTTTGTTTACTAAAACTTGATTTCTATCCAAGGTTTCACCAACCTCTTTCCCTCAATCTCAGCATCAGCCTCAGCCGGCTGCTTTGGAGAACTGGTAAAAGGTCATTCTCAGGAATGTGCTCAGGCCTCTCTTCAGAACTTAACTCTAGCCCGGACAACCCCTCATCCTGAGGCCCCTCATCCACATCAATATGAACATCAGATGGTCCAGCGAGCGGCAGCCATGTGGCTAACGGGAGCAGCGCTCAGGGAGCATACTACTCCTCTGTTGCTCCAGCTCCACTGGCTGCCAGTCTGCTACCCGGCACAATTCAAAGTGCTGGCTTTAGCTTATAAAGCCCTAAATGGTTCTGATCCGGCTTACCTATCTGAACATATCTCTCCTTATGAACCATCTAGGACTTTAAGATTGTCTGGGGAGGCCTTGCTTTAGTTCCTGCCTTCCTCGCAGACGCATTTGGTGGGGACGAGAGACAGGGCCTTCTCGGTGGTGGCCCCTTGGCTATGGAACATCCTCCCCAGAGATATAAGATCAGCTCCCTCCCTTTTAACATTCTGTAAAATGGTTAACACCTGGCTGTTTGAGCAGGCTTTTACTACTGGAGCATAATTAGACGAAAATGAATCATGGAATGTCTAACGATGCAATTGGATCACGATTTCAATAAGGAGACGTTGAGGACTTGTTTTTATGTTTTTTATATTTTTAATGTTGAACTGTTTTACAACTTTTTTATAATTGTTTTAACTGTACCCTGTCATTATTATGGCATCGAATCGCTGCCGATTGCGAACCGCCTTGAGTAACCATTGGCTTAGAAAAGCGATAAAAATGCAGCAAATAAATAAATAAACATCAGACACAATCACAGGCTGTACAGACTGACATACAACACTAAGTTGGCAAGAGCTAGGGCTAACAGCAGGAACTCACCCTGTGCCATGGATTCGAAATGCCGACCTTCAGGTCAGCAGTTCAGCAGCACAAGGATTTAACCCATTACACCACCATGACAAAGTAAATCCTACTCCATTATTCAATATGGTCTTATTTCTTACCCCTGGCAATTCTTCTCCAGCTCTTCCCCTCTTTCTTAACTCAGCCTCTTCTTTACTGTCTCCTTACCTGCTCCGTTAAATGAATTCATAGAGATGTTACCAGCCGGAGGATTCTGTGCCTTGTAGTCCAAAAGTAACTTTGAAACTCTGGATCTAATCAAGCATAACTCATCTTACATTAATTAGATGAACTGCGTGTGAAGATGTAAGAATTATTCCTGCCAGTTTCCATTGATGATCTTTGATGATATATTTTTCACTGCGGGTCGTGGGGATGGGGTGTGGGGTGGGCAGAGTCGAAATGATGCAGTAGAGCTCGAGGCCTTACAGTTTATTTGCAAATTAAAGATTAACAAGTCGCCAGGCTGAGTTGGCATCACCGGATGAATTCTTAAATTCTTGTTGTTGATCCACTCACAAAACTGAAACTTATCCGAAACCAGCGTTCTTACCAGAGGATTGGAAAGCAGCCAAAACTGCATTGGTTTTGGCAAAGAGCAATCTGTGTTGTGGGAGGCAGAGGGAGCTACGAACTACAAGCCAGTTTATTTACAGCAGTCCCAACCTGCAGCCCTTGTCAATGTGTTGCACTAGAAATCACCACCACCACCACCTCCAAAGATAAAGGGGTTCCCTTAGATTGGGGAAGTAACTTAATACAAGTAATGTGTTGTTTCCAAACTTTTCTTCAAATCACCAAAGCCTAAGGAACTACCAGCAAGAATGGGCTACTAGCTAGAATATAAAAATTCTGTATACAATTAAACCTCAAATTCTCAAGATTTTTCAAACCTCATTTTCTGTTATACATCCTGCATTGTAGTCATACTTGCCCTAACTGCATACACGTGTTTATTTCTCATATTGGTAAGTAAATACATAATGTTGTTGTGAGTTTTCCGGGCTGTATGGCCAGTTTCAGAAGCATTCTCTCCCGATGTTTTGCCTGCATCTATGGAAGGCATCCTCAGAGGTTGTGAGGTCTGCTGGAAACTAGGAAAATGGGATTATATATCTGTGAAATAATGTCCAGGGTGGGAGAAAGAACTCTTGCCTGCTTGAGGCAAGTGTGAATGTTGCAATGGCCCCCTTGATTAGCTTTTAGCAGTTTCAAGGTCTGGCTTCTTACTGCCTGGAGGAATCCTTTGTTGGGAGGTGATTAGCTGGCCCTGATTGTTTCTTGTCTGAAATTCCCCTGTTTTTGAGGGGAATCATAACAGTAAATAAAGAACTATACTCAAAAACAGAGTTTTTTTAATACTGGCAGTAAGAAGCCAGACCTTGAAACTGCTAGGCCATTAAATGCCAATCAAGGTGGCCAAATTCAACATTCACCCCTATCTCAAACAGACAAGAGTTGTTTTTCCCACCCTGGACATTCCACAAATATATAAACCACATTTTCCTAGTTTTCAACAGAAGTCACAACCTCTGAGGATGCCTGCCATAGATGCAGGTGAAACATAAGGAGAGAATGCTTCTAGAACATGGCCATACAGCTCGGAAAACTTACAGCAACCCAAGAAACTTGTTGTGTCTTTGGAAGCGGAAAGCCTCTGTCCATCAAATGATTGAAAAACAGACAGTGATTGATGCGTTACACGTTTCTTAGTGTGAAGATTAAATGACCAAATCTTACGTCTTCATTTCTGCCATACAGGTTGGAAAACTCACAACAACCCATTCTGTCAATGAAAGCCTTCGACAATACATTAAATGCATAATTGTGAAATTATAATGAATTATATCAATTAAATATGTGCTTTGATGACTGAAAAAAAATGAAAAAAAAATTCAAAGAAAGGATCAGATGGAGAAGGTCCTGATGATGTATTGCAAAAATTTGACTCCCAGTTTTCGGGATGCAAACTTCTGTTCTTCCTGTTGACTTCTGGATTTCTGTAGCAAAGCTGTCAGAGCAGAAAATACATGGGTGGAGATAGTATGTGTGCACATGTTTCATTTTTCTAAATGTCTCCCTGTCTATTCCATATTTCTTTTTCTTACTGCAGGAGTGCTACACTCCCTTTGTGAATGGCAGCTTCTTTGAGCACGGCGGCCGCCCGTTTTGTGAGATCCACTACCACAAGCAGCGTGGATCGCTCTGTTCAGGCTGCGAGAAACCCATCACCGGGCGGTGCATAACAGCCATGGCGCGCAAGTTCCACCCGGAGCACTTTGTCTGTGCCTTCTGCCTCAAGCAGCTCAACAAGGGCACCTTCAAGGAGCAGAACGACAAGCCTTACTGCCACCCGTGCTTCATCAAGCTCTTTGGGTGACCAGGAAGTGCCTCGCCATTGCTGTGGCCAAGCCATGCCTACTGCCAGCATGGGAAAAGGGAGGATCTCTGGGTCCCTCAATCTTTGACCAAGCCATACCCACTGCCATGCGTGGGAGCGGCCTGTGCCTTAGGGGCTTCGACACACACCACAGAAGCCACCAACACCATTGCCAAAAAACATACCTGTAGATAAGAACCACGTGCAAAAATAAAATATAAAATTCCCCCTCCAAAACCAAAAGTGATGGTTGGAGCAGGGTATCCCTGCTCCTCCTGCCCTACTCAGGAGCCAAACCCCTGCCAAAGCATGAGCAGCCAATAGTTAATCTCGACCACATCACATGCCATTTTGAAGCCACGCTTGCATGTCATGCCAGCACTTCAGACAGGAGGCAGTGCCTTAAGCCATGTTCACGAGACCAGCTGGCAGTGCCATCCAGAGAGGAAGTGGGGCCAAAATGAAGCCTTGCCCCTGCTTCTTTTAAAATCCTTTGCAATTCTGCCCAGTAGTAAGGTAAAGGTAAATGTTTTCCCCTGACATTAAGTCCAGTCATGTCCAACTCTGGGGGTTGGTGCTCATCCCTATTACTAAGCCAAAGAGCCAGCGTTGTCCATAGACACCTCCAAGGTCATGTAACCGGTATGACTGCATGGAGTGCCGTTACCTTCCTGCCGAAGCAGTACCTATTGATCTACTCACATTTGCATGTTTTTGAACTGCTAGGTTGGCAGAAGCTGGGGCTAACAGCAGGAGCTCATGCTGCTCTCCACAGATTCGAACCTGCAACCTTTCGGTCAACAAGTTCAGCAGCTCAGCTGTTTGACCCACTGCACCACTGGGGGCTCCATGGTGCGAGATGGGAAGTATCCAAGCCCCACTCTCCTTCTCAGGACTATTTTAAGCCATAAACCAAAGAGAGGTGTCATTCCATAGATTGTTGGACTGTATCTTCTATTTTTTTCTGTGTCAGAAGCTACTTGAGAAACTGCAAGTCGCTCCTGATGTGAGAGAATTGGCCGTCTGCAAGAACGTTGCCCAGGGGATGTCTGGATGTTTTACCTTCCTTTGGGAGGCTTCTCTCATGTCCCTGTATGAGAAGCTGGAGCTGACAGATGGGAGCTCACCCCACTCCCCAGATTCGAGCCATCGACCTTTCGGTCAGCAATCCCGCCAGCACTAGGATTTGACCCATTGCACCACCGGCATCCAGTACAATCAGCTATGGCTATGGTTCACAGATACTTCAGTCCTATAAAGATCAAATTCCTCAACCTTGCAATAAAGCCATTTAGATTGGAGATGAGAAATGTCCCTTCGGTTCCTGTTGTTTTCGGGCATGTTGCTCTTTTGCCCCGGTATATTCAAGTGTTGGGAAGGGAGACCTCATCACTCCAGGGCTGTTTGAAAGCACTTATGATCTCAGCACTAAAGTTGCTCAACTGTAAGAGAAGATAAACAACAGGAACTCTTTGGCTCACCCTTTTTTGGGCAAAAAGACGAGATGGACTTGTGTAGGAACGGCTTCCAAGAATTGTTTGGATTAATCGGATCTGCCTCTCTCCATACATCTAAGGGAGCTAAAAGCATGATAGGAAGGAACGGAACCTGGTTATTGTAAGGGACCCAGAACTTGGACTACTATTCCCAGCGTAGGGATTGCTGACAGTCCAAAAAAAGTTACTTTGCAAAGCTTTGTGTTAAAGAAGAAATGGTTAAAATGTCTTTGGATTGGGTTGCTGTGAGTTTTCTGGGCTGTATGGCTATGTTCCAAAAGCATTCTCTCCTGACGTTTCGCTCACATTTATGGCAGGCATCCTCAGAGGGTGTGAGGTCACCTGTGGCCGAAACGTCAGGAGAGAATGCTTCTGGAACATGGCCATACAGCCCGGAAAACTCAAAGCAATCTAGTGATTTGGCTACAAAAGCCTTCGACAACACATGCCTTGGATTGCCAAATATTGAAGAAGTTCCTGTTTTAAAAGCTAGGGAGAGACAATGTTTGGGAAAATATGCCTACATGAGTTTTTTTCTGATTCATCAGGGTCTTTTTTTAATATTTCCATGTTAAACCCTAAAAGATGCTTTTCATATGATGCAATGGATGTTGTGAGTCCAAAGAGCATGTGCTCTTCCTTCTGCCCCCAGATTTCTATACCAACTTTTTACCCTCTCACTGCTGTATAATATATAATAAAAAATCACATGCTAAAAAATATTGTATCAGTTTTTATGTGTAGTAGCCAATGTGGAAAGTGTGTCAAGATCTTTACAGATGTGCGTGGAGTTGAGCAGAAAGTGGACCATTCTGTCCTGGTGGATCTTAGGGTGGTTTTCAATACCAAGTGTTTTTAAGACTCCCAGTTCTTTAACAGCAGGAACAAAAATACCCTTCTTATCTCAAATTAAGCAGATAAAATTCAAGAGTTTGGAGTAAACCAGAGTAGGTGTTAGCATGGACGTATTGTGAACATAGCTCAGTTCTGGCCCTAATAAAATCCTAGCTCAGAATGGGCTTGAGGACATCTTGTTTTTTTTAATGTCTTGCACCTGACTGGTGGATCCTGGCATTTCAGCAGATTCACCGAGACTGAAATATTCTTGCCTGGATTTAAGCAGATCACCACTAGGTAGGTCTTTTTATGTGATGAAGTTAACCGCATAAAATGATGAAATCTATGAATCATAGAATTGGAAGAGACCTCAGGGACCATCCAGTCCAACTCCCTGTCAAAAAGCAGGAAAATCACATTCAAAGCACCCCCGACAGATGGCCATCCAGCTTCTGCTTAAAAACCTCCAAAGAAGGAGCCTCCACCACACTCCGGGGCAGAGAGTTCCACTGCTGAACAGCTCTCACAGTCAGGAAGTTCTTCTTAATCTTAATGTTCAGATGGAATCTCCTTTCCTGTAGTTTGAAGCCATTGTTCCACGTCCTAGTCTCCAAGGCGGCAGAAAACAAGCTTGCTTCTTCCCCTCACATATTTATAAATGGTCCTCATCATGTCTCCTCTCAGCCTTCTTTTCTACAGGGTAATGTACCCACCTCTTTAAGCCAATCCTCATAGGGCTTGTTCTCCAGACTCTTGATCATTTGAGTCGCCCTCCTCTGGACACATTCCAACTTAGAATCAACATCTCCCTTCAATTGCAGTGCTCGGAATTGGACACAATGTGATTCCAGATGTGGTCTAACCAAGGCAGAATAGAGGGGTAGCATGACTTCCATGGATCTAGACACTAGACTCCTATTTAAGCAGGCCAAAATCCCATTGGCTTTTTCAGCTGCCGCATGACATTGTTGGATCATGTTATTCCTCTCCACAAGGACTCCAAAATCTGATTCCCAAGTACTGCTATCAAACTGGACGTCCCCCAGTCTGTATCTTTTTATTTCATTTTTCTGCCTAAGTAGCATGTCTTGCATTTGTCCACATTGAACTCCATTTTGTTAGTTTTGGCCAATCATCGCTCTAATCTGTTAAGATCATTTGAATTCTGCTCCTGTCTTCTGGAATATTGGGTATCCTTCCCAATTTGGTGTCGTCTGCAAACTTGATTATGAAGTTGCTTCTGTATTTACAATTCCAAGTTACTTATTTGATTAGGAAGTACCATTGTAGCCATGCAATGGCACAAGGATTTGATCAGTTGTGTAAAATAATATGCTCCTGAATATTATGAGGGATGGCTACAGGTGAAGGATCTATTCTGTTGGGACACCCTTTCCTAGACCTCTAAGATCTTGCTGTGGATTTTCAAACAGAAGTGGCAGCCATTTTTATCAGATGGTGGAATAAAACAGTGTGACCCTCCTAACAAAAGACTCTCCTCATAAATGTACAGCAGAGTAACTTATTAGCAGCAGTGTGACCTTCACCAGTAGCCCAAAGTGATAAAAAGAACAAAAACACAATGTTGTCTCTCTCATAGGAGGCTTTCTTTATAGCAAAATAATATTGTTGCACTATTTACAAAAACAAGATTTCCATGACACAAATAAAGTTCAACCTTCACACTGGAGCTTCACACATGAGGCCTTCTCATAATGACGGCTTTCTCCCACCACAGTGAGGCCTACTACCACTGACACCTATTCTCCCACTGAGGCGTTCTCTCACTGAGAGCTCTCTCACACTGAGAGCTCTCTCACACTGAGAGCTCTCTCACACTGAGAGCTCTCTCACACTGAGAGCTCTCTCACACTGAGAGCTCTCTCACACTGAGAGCTCTCTCACACTGAGAGCTCTCTCACACTGAGAGCTCTCTCACACTGAGAGCTCTCTCACACTGAGAGCTCTCTCACACTGAGAGCTCTCTCACACTGAGTGCTCTCTCACACTGAGAGCTCTCTCACACTGAGTGCTCTCTCACACTGAGAGCTCTCTCACACTGAGAGCTCTCTCACACTGAGAGCTCTCTCAGTGTGAGAGGTAAGCAACAGGCACACCTTCTAATATTGAATTTCAGGTTTTGCTGAGTCATTGCATCCATTTAACCCTTTCAGTGCTTGACTCACATTTTTGTAATTAAAAAATACCTAGTTAATTTTTAATATTTCTGACATGGCAGACCACAGCTTTATAGAAGAACAGAATGCCCACATCCTGGGCTCAAAGGCCTCCGTCCAATTGTTAGTTCCAAATGCAGTAGACCTAAGTGAAACAATGGAAATGATTCAAATGTTGACTTACCAAGTTCTATTTGGAACAAACAAACAGATTTAGGCCAATGATCAAACAAAGCACAGAACATTAATTCAGGCATGATAGATCTGTACATTTGCTGCTGCGTATCTCAAGTTATTTCCAACTTGTTGTAATTCTAAGGCAAAGCCCAGCACAGGGTTTTGTTTTTTTTTTGGCAAGACTTGTTCAGAGGAGGTTTACCAGGGCTTTTTCTATGAAACTGAAAAGATTGACTTCCCCAAGAAATGTGGCTTTCCATGACTGAACAAGGATTCGAACCTTGGTCTCTCAAGAGTCATAATCCAGAGCCAATATTCCATGCTGGTTCTACAAATCTGTACAGATTTCAAAGATGAAAACCAGGATACATATGGCAAAGCTCTTAATGAGGGAGAATATTCAAGCTAGGAGAGCTGCAGCAGTCTGCTTTTGACTAAGCCTCCTGGAAAGAGCAAGCTTCTTTCCCCTCCTGACAAGTTTTTAACTGAGTGCAAACTGAGTGCTTTTGCATATAGAACTCAATGTATAGCAACTGAAGAAAGCTGGGAAAAAAATAAACCCAAAACCTCCAAGATCCAACATTGTCCACATGGATGACTGAGATAGTGGCACCTTTGCTTTCTGATGGTTCAACACAACTTTTCTTTCATTCACAACATTATTTAAAATACTGTATTCAATTTTCTCCTGTTTATGCATATAAAGCAAGCATGGGCAAACCTGGGCCCTCCAGATGTTTTTGACTTCAACTCCCAGAATTCCCAACAGCTTCAGGCTTAAGGAAGGGGCGTGCGGCTGTTAGGAATTATGGGAGTTTAAGTCCAAAACACCCGGAGAGCTCAAGTTTGCCCATGCCTGGTATAAAGTGTATACAAGACATTTAGATTTGGACTATTTCTCCAATATATTAAGTATGTGGATAAAAATATATGTATTTCTAAATCCAAAAAAAAAAAAATGAAATTGAAAACAAGCATGTATCCAAGCATTTTGGATAAGGGATACTCAATATCTACTGCATTAAAAAAAAACAAGGCACTAAAGAACAATCCCAGTTCACTTGGTAGGTTGTTTTCCTCTCTATCTCTCTCTCCATTTCAGCATTACTTTTATGTCACTTTTTAAAAAAGAAAAACCCTTTTAGAGACCATAACTTTTTGGAAAACCAGCATCTCCAAAGCCATTTGGAAGCATGACCCCTTTTGGAGATAAATTGGCATGATTAATTTAGAGAACTTAGTGTTTAAACTGTCAACCAATAAGAAATGTACCTGTATGCTGAATACATGAAAAGTTTGTAAGTAAATCAATCATGTTAACTTTTAATGATGACTAGGTACTGTATTTTCTGGCGTGTAAGACTAATTTTTAACCCAAGAGAATCTTCTCAAAAGTCGGGGGGGGCGGAGTAGACTTATATGCTGGGAGTAGTCTTATATGGCAGGTCGTCTTATACACCAGGAGTAGTCTTATAGAGCGGGTGTTGAAACTTCCAATCCAGATTGGAGAATCTGTAGTTGCTGCATATGGTGGGGGGAGCTCAAAAATGGCAATGGCCACGTCCCTGCTGTATGCAGCAACTGTATGAAAGCATTAAGGGCGATGCTGTACAAGTACGGTAGAAGAAAATCCATTCATCAGGATTCATGGACTTAATGTGGTCCCGATGGTGAGGTGAAGGGGCGCCTCACCGGGAAGGTGTAAGTGAAGGGCGGAGCAAGCTGCAGGCGCCTGGGGCGCCTGGGGTATGGAAAAAAGAGATAGAGTGGCTCTGGGCCCAGAAAAACACGCCTCTTTTACCTGTCTTGCCCGCCATTGTATCCTATTACCATATCTCCTCCTCTGCCTCTTAGTCTCGCTCCTGAAGACTGCAGTGAAATGGTGCAGGTGCGCATGTGCAAGATCTGAGAGGCAGAGAAGGAGGTACAGTAATAGGAAAATTACCATATTGAAATCAAATCTGATGTTTTTAAAATTTTATTTGGTGTGCGTTGGAAGAGGGGTAGTCTTATATGGCGAGTATATCCCAAACTCTATATTTTAACTGGAAAAGTTGGGGGTCATCTTATATGCCCAGTCATCTTATTTTTTATCTCTTGAGAGCATGATTTGAAAGCAATATATTTTATGGGAGAGTAGATGTTTTTTGGGCAACTAAAAGAACACATCTGAGGATCTGCTATATAGTTTCTGCATTGGCATATCTTTGTTCCTAACAGTTCAAAGAGATAACCAGGAATATCAGTCTAACAACTGAGAACCTAAATTTTCTTGCATGAATACTTGTGGATATTTACCACTAAGAAGAAGATTCACTCAAGTGAGGTTTTAACTCTTCTCAGGAAGGTCATGCCTTTCCAAAAAGGTTATGATTATTCCAGATAGTGTTGACCACTTTTGGAGATTAATTGGCATTTACACTTTATGTATTCAGCAAAGACATGCTAGTGCAGAAAATTCAGTAAAGATATGCCAAGACAGAAAATATACTTACAACTTCATGTATTCAGCATACAGGTACATTTCTC